CTTTGTATCTTGAAACTCTTTGGTGTTGACAAACCTCGGAAGATTAAACTCTTACAGGGATTAATCACTTACGGGGAGAAATGGCCATACAAATAGGGGTATTTAAAGTCATCTATATGTTATTTATTTATATATGCTCTGTAATAAATACATTGAGCTCTCTTTGTGGATCAGTTTTTATGTTTTATATTATTAGGATTCACTTGGATTACTTACCCACGGATTTTTATCTATCTATCAATATATATATGACTAGACTGAGATACATATGAATATATGAATAGATTAAGATATACAAAGATTGCATAATTTTCAAAGGTACATTTATAGATTAATTATATATATATATATATATATATATATATATATATATATATATATATATATATATTGTGTATTTAAGCATCAATCCTTCATTTATGCATGTTTCATTAAAACGACAGACAAGGTATTACGTTTAAGCATTTTATTTAATTTTTCTTGTGCTCAAACAAGAGCTTTCTTTTTAAAACACGGTGTGTGTAGAAACTGTCCAAATGTTCTATAGTTCCGAGCACTTTTGGTTATACTTTTATCTATTATCAAGGGAGATAATTGAGTGTGTGCGTTATGTGTATGTTTTTAGTGTGTAACACATTAAAGAGATGTTTTATTTTCAGAACGCGTTTAGCACATTCCTAGTTAATATTGTTTAATATTGTTAAAAGTTGTTTTTTGTAGAAAATATTTATGTAATTTTCTACAAAAACCAAATACACATCAACTATAAACAAGATGGATCTTCATTTAGAAATATTATAAAGAAATACAGTACCTCAATTGAGCCGAATAAAAAAAATCAAATTAATTGTCTACTATAAAAAAAATACTAAACAGCTAACCTTATACTGAAAAATAACAACACACCAGCTGAGTTAAAATTACACCGAACGAAAATTATTAATGAGTTTAAATGACCCTTAAGAAACTTTGTTCCTGATCAAACCGAACTCATAAATAATTACATCAGTCACACAACTACATGCCTATCCAGACGCCTTACGCTGCACCTATCTGACCAGAGCATTAATAGAACCCATTTAAACACGCACACAAACCTACCAGACTCCATTCGAAACATACTAGTAGAAAATACAAACATAATAACATCATGCACGTATAAAAAAAGATTAAGAATAATGGAAGCCCTAATAATGAAAAAGAAAAAGTCAACTCTTAACAATATTAACTGAGAACTAGGCCACAATGTGCTAACCGTGTTCGGGAAATAAAACATCTTATAACACACTAAAAACATACACATAACGCACACACTCAATTAAATTGAAAAAATAAAATCACCTTTCATAATGTCTAAAAGTATAACTGAAAGCGCTCGGGACTATAAAATATTTAGACAGTTTCAATACCCTCTGTGTCCAAAAAAGAACTCAAGAAAAATTGAATATAAAGCTTAACCGTGGTACCTTGCCTGTCGTTTTTAATGAAACATATATATATATATATATATATATATATATATATATATATATATATATATATACAATATTAGAACTCAGTATTTTCTATCATATAAAGTACTTCTGGAAAGTTCTCGAGTTGGAAAAGAAAGATTTTCCGCGTCAGTAACATTCTCACCACATTGTAAAGCCAATAGAATCACTGAATAATAGGAATAATCGATGTGTGTTATAAGAAAAGACGCCTCACCTGTAAATAGTCATCTGCCCCATTGGTATGTAGAAAGGATTGTAGTTGTCGTGATGATGTGGTATTTGTTTCGACTGATCTTGGCGGGTATTTAAACATTCTTCAGTAACAGCCTTTTCATAAGCATCGGAATCCATTCCAAAATATTTACCTTTTAATCGTAAACAAAAGACCATATCGTCAATAAACAAGAGTAGATAGATAGATATATGAGTGGAGATAGATACATAGATATGAACAGACTTTAGATAGATAGTTAGATTTGAACAGAATGAAATAGATATGAGCAGAGATAGATATGAGAATTGATAGAAATGAGAAGTTTGAGATAGAAAAATAGATTGAGATCGATATTTATGAGCAGATATAAATATGAGTAGATAAAGATAGATAACTATAGACATAAGCAGATATAGATAGATTGATATATGTGAACATATTGAGATTGATATGAACATATTGAGATAGATACTGATGATAATATGCATAGACTGAGATACATATTAATATATGAACAGACTAAGATATACAAAGATTGCTTTATTTTCAAATGTACATTTATAGATTAATATATATATATATATATATATATATATATATATTATAGGAGATTAAAACAAAACATTTTAAAACTCGCTACACAATAGAAATCGTTGTAACACTACAAATGTGCCTCCTCTGGTGATAGTAAATTACTGGCAAGTGAACGTTTAATTTAATTTCAAAAGCAGAATAATTTTCGAAAAAAAAACAGAATTAAAATGAGGCTTGTTAGGCTTTACCGTGATTAACTAATCAAATGTGATCAACGCTAAATTCATAGTAACCGAGGAAAATTGATATAGGTCATGGCATGAAGTTGACTGCATATAAATCCTAGACAATTTCATTTGGGACAGATACAAATGGTTACATTATTTCGTAAAATATATAGAAGTATGACGTTCAATTTTCACAAAAAGTTAAAGGGAAAGCGGTAGGGAGGTAATCTAACATAATGTTAACTAATGTTAAAAAGAAAATCAGATCATAAATACAAAATTACTCTGGCAAATTAATATTCAACCGTTAAGTAAAGAGCATCCATATAAGATATTAATAATACTAACTGATCAATGTAAGATGTTAATAATACTGACTAAATACCAGTACATCCATATAAGATGTTAATAATACTAATTGATCAATGTAAGATGTTAATAATACTGACTAAATAACAGTACATCCATATAAGCGGTTAATAATACTAACTGATCAATGTGAGATGTTAATAATACTAGCTAAATACCAGTACATCCATATAGGATGTTAATAATACTAACTAGACAACAGTACAGAACTATAGTAAATCTAAATGAATCTTACAAATAGAATAGTAAGTCATATACTATATTTATTTACTAAGAGTATATATGGTATTGTAAAATTAATATATTTATAAATTATCTTATTTATGATCAAATAATATATACATATATAATTCTGTAAATTATTTTTATAATTAATCATGTTTCAAGGAAAATATGAGACAATGTCAACAGAAAACTGCTTTTCCATTTCTTTGATTTAATATTTTTTTTAATTTTCAGAAACCTAATATATATATATATATATATATATATATATATATATGTGTGTGTGTGTGTGTATGTGTGTGTGTGCAGGCAAAGACATGGGTCAATTAAATATCTACAAATTCTTGTTTTTTCTATTAGTTTCCATTTTACTGTAGATGTTTCATTTGTTTCTTTTAAATGCCAAAATATTTGGATAAGGATGTTTGGTTGCGATACTTAATGTTATTGAAGGACGTCAGATGTTGACCTAATCTCAATTTAAATTCGTTTCCGTACATCCTATATAGAATTTTATAACATTAGGATTCCCAATTGATGGGATAGTTCATGGGTAAACTACGGATTCTGTGTGACATTTATTATTCAAAGGATAATTTTCAGGATTTCTGCACTTACATAATTTTTCATTATTATTGTTTATTCTTATTTCAGGATCACCATTTTTTGATTCTGGCATGAGTATTTATTCAAGATTTTATTATTATGTTCTTTTTATAATCCTTTCTAAATTTTCAGTACAGCTGATCTGGGTTGTGATTTCGGAGATTCCCCTAATCTCTACAGAGAGTTCTTTGTATGTTTAACCCTGTGAAATTAATTGCATGTTCAATTTTGTAGAGTCCCCTCGTCCGAGGAGTGGTGATAGAAAAATATCGACCCACCCTAACTCCTTCCTTTTCGTATTAGTGCCTCGTACCAATACTAACCAACTACCCAATAAACTTAAAATATATAATACTGTTTGACTTGTAAGTAGTGTAAATCATTTTTTTTTCGAAGGTTGTTTTTAACATCGCTTGAAAATGGGACCAAACTTCAAATTTTAATTTTAATTTAAAATTTAAGCTTCAGTTTCGAAACATAGTAATTTCTGTGTCGCAATGGAAACATATTTTTAAAAAAAATATAATTATAATATTATGCTCTACTGTGTATCGAGCACTTTTTTTTAAATGAATGCTGAAGAATTCTGGATTATAAATCTGACCGTTCTTTCCTATCATTTTGATATGTGGACCTTAAGATACTGGAACCGACTCACAGACAAATAGAATCAATTTTCTACCCATGTAAAGCCTACGAAAATGCGATTATAATTTAAAGAAAAATTCTAACTTACTTTTTCGGTTGAATCGTATTTTTTGTTTCGCCATTTTCTTTTCGATGCATTTTTTGTTTTCCGGCAAAATAAATCGAGTGTCGGCCGGAAAGAACCAATATGTTGCAAACACTAGGTCGATAGAATATTTTCGGTCGGGATGATTGGCTGGCAGCGTAGATGGGGCGAGGGTACCCGTAGATATCAGTCTCATAAGACCCTTAGTATCATGTGGACCGATATGGCGCTTTACTCTCGTTTTCATAAAATCTGGAAGATTACCCCTGGGTTCCCTTTTCCTGTTTTTTTTTCTACGAGTCCGTTTAGTCTTCCGTTCGTGACGATAAATTCCAGCAGCCATTCTGGCTCGATTGGAAGACGAGGTCAAGACAATAGTCTTCGTTTTTCTCTTTTTGCTTGACATTTTTCTTTTGACCGAATCTTTGCCCATATTCCATCTTCGTGCTGGCGATCTCTTCTTCCTCATTAAAAACTTCGGCATTGGTTCGTCCTCTTCAGCAAGATTTTCCCTAAAGGTTTCTGCTTTCCCGTTTAGTGTGCGGTCAGTCAGCAGAAACTTCGCAGGGTTAATTTTTTCATCTACCCCGTAAGCGAGGGCATTCATCAAAATCGCTTTGTCATTGCCATACAGACGTCTGGGAGCATTTCGGAACCGTTTCAATCGCATTCGGCCGTATTCGTAAGGACGGTTTTGACCCCTGACATTTGTGGGATCGTTGTATTTGGGGAGATTGCTCTCATCCATTTCTCCGGGTCTCATGTCCCCTTCGGTGTCTGTGTTGGTTCGAGCATCCATCATTCTATCACCAGAAGGCGCTTGCCCATTCTGTGAATAAGGGTAAAGGGAATAATCTTGTGAGTTTTGAGAATAGTCTCTTGAGGGGTACGAACCCGTGCCTCCACCGTCATCATAAATGTCATCGTACTGAGCGGAATTTGTCCCATCATAATTAACACCGTCGACATCTCCGTTGTGAACGCTTTCTCTGTTATTGACATCAATTCGACCGTTATTCATACGAGTAGGGGCCTCGTTAAGCGAGTACCCACCACTCCTTCCGAGACCAGGGCCTGGGTCCTGTTTCTTATAATTGTTGTAGTAGTTAGGGAGTAGTTTAGGGGTTGTTTTGCGGTGATGTAGAAATTTGCCCTTCTTAGCTTCCGAACTCATTGGCGTTCCTTTAAGTTCGTCGTAAAAGTTGTTAGTTTCTTGGTTGTAAGGCCCGAATTCATTAATTAGTCTTTGCTGGAAAAAAAGGTTAAAAAAAGAAAGTCAAAACGAAGAAAATAAAATATCAAGGTATGAAATATTTTTTACTTTATTTTTATTACACTAGGTTCCAGAATTATATGCAAATTAATCAAAGGATTATAATGATGAAACTATTGGCCCTGGATTTATCAAATATTGAAAAGGCCGTACATTTATATGGAATATCACAAAATTTACGATTAAAATATAGAACATCATTTATACTGAAAAATACAAAATATGATTATTTCACGATCACGATTCCAATAACCCTTTCTGATCTTACATGATATTTACTCATAGCCGATGGGTAAACAGATTGACTCGTATATTACCCACGTCTACTTGTGCTTTAGTGAATGTAACAAACTCGACTGGAATTCGAACCCAGCTCTCCTATTTTTAATTCCGAACCGCTGTTCATTACACCATCTGTGCATCCACCCATTACACGACACATGCTTATTTAAACTGTTGCTCTTTATATGCAAACAGGTCAAGCGAATCAATTCGAAATTCTAAATGGATAATAAAAGACCGACAATGACCAAACTCATCAATGAGTCCGTCCAAATAATAATAGACGAAGCAAATGGTTACAATCTTGGCCAAATGACACCATAGAAAAGTAATATTATTTGCGTGTATGATGCAAATATCCACGTGTCTTCCCTTTGTCGGCACGTGCGCTGCATACAGTTTGGTTCGAGATTAATTTCTTGGTCGGACGACATTCATTATTTTATGTAGTAAAATCTCAAGTTTCCTATACTCACGTATAAAATAATCAATTCGAGCATATGAGACACCGTGTTAATCCAATATAGGTTTAGACGACCGATATCATTTAGAATTATTTGATAAATGAAAATTTATGTTACACTTTACCTAATAAAACTAGACACTCACCAAACAAGATATAGTCAATATCTTTTATCCTGATAAATATTAGAAGCTGAAACTCAATATATTCCTCGTGTAAATTGACACTTTTATAAACTTCAGTTGGTTAATATAATTTTATTGTAAAAACAGATTTCTGTTAATAAAATCTGATATAAGTAGATAAATATAAACAAACTGAGATATATGCAGGGCGTGATTGATAAATTGTTGCCATTTTATTCTCCAAAGTTCGCGCATGCGCGTTGTTTATTCTTTCTTTTATCGACTGAACAGTATAGTATGGTCAGTTGGGCAACGTCTGTGAGAAAAAGAGTACCATGACGCAATTCGTACCGCCAGAAATTTGGAAACGGTATGATGTATTTCTTGGCATTCGCACTGGAATCTCCAATACGGGCATTTCAGAGTGTTTGAGTGTCAATGCAGAGATATCGGAAAGAGGTGGATGAATCTAATGGTGATTACGAAGGTACGGCAGCTCGGAAAACTCACTCTTATTGTTCTAATAAAAACGAACTTTGGAATTTGTTGATGAGGGCCTCAAATTCAACAATTGCATACATCAAGTGCCTTGAGGAACTAATTCTGCCCTGAGTCACGAGGGTGGCTGCTGTAAGACCCTATGTATGGCAACAAGACTCTGCACCATGCCACACAAGCCCTTGAAACCAGTCATGGTTGTCAGACAATTTCTGCGACCACATCACCCCTTACATGGATGTAGGCATGGCATAGTTGGGATAAGAATGAACTTGATCAAAAAAATACTCTACCAAGTAACCTAAAATAGGAATCAAGACAAAACTTTCCAAAATAGAAACTATGATCTGGAATTGGAATGAAAACGGTGACTCCATCAATTCAGGATATGGCATTAGTAAATACTAAGCACTTCAAATACATTGGTGTATAGATCAGTTATAACAAATTTAGTATAGGAGAGAAGGAAATTGAGCATAGAATAGGCTATGCTCGAGGTAGTTACATTGAGATTTTAATATGTGTGTCATTTATGGTGCCAAACCCGTTCAGAAATATCTGAATTTTCAGTTGTGTGCAACAATTTTCAATGGTTAAGAATGGATTTGAGCAAATTATGCATGTGCATCTTGGTGAATACCACCTTTTTTCGAATATTTGGACTGGCTCTATAGAATTACAAAGAACTGTATCAAATGCCAGAAACTAGATTAGTTGCGGACTTTCAAAAGCAGCAACAGCTAAAATGGATATCACATGTAAGTCGAAGGGAAAATAATGACATAATAAAGATGGTGACATGCCACACTATTTTAAATAAAAGGTTAAGAAGGAAGCTCCCAACCATACTGGAAAGAGCGATAACAGTTACTAGACTTGAGAAAACGATTTTCCTGAAAAACCCTTTTTAGTAGAATTTTTTTGCAACACGTTGATGCGTGTTGAAAACTTCACAAAATTTAGTATTTTTGAATTTATCGCATATATTTTTGTTCGAGATTTACAAACTACATTTCGTTCAATTTCGCAAACTAAGCGAAGAAATTTGCTTAAGCTGATTTGTTTGGAAAATACTGAAACCCTACAGTTTAATAATTTCTTTAATTTTATTTAATAGGACTTCATGGTAAACAATATTTCTTTATTTGGTTTCAATCGGTCAAGGTATGACAATTTTAGAGAATGTAACGTGCCGGTTAACGGAAGTCAAAGAATTTTATATATCGATAGATAGAAGAGTAAAAAAAAATTAAAATTTCAATCAACACTAGTACAAGCTGTTCGATCAATGAATGCTGATTATTTCCTTATAAGGAAACGTCTACTATACTATTGTCATTACCATTCATATGTTGAGTCGTAAGTAATTTCCGTTTTGGGGAACCGGTCATAATGACGAATGTATCGTCCGAACTACTAATGCCACATGGCGTTCAATTAATACATTATGAGTACAATAACATACCTTAGTTTGTATACGATAGATGCAATGTACACCGTGGATTGAAGGGGAAACTGTCTTCACCATGACAGCGCTGGGCCGTATACGACAAGTATAACACGGGAAATATTTTCGGAATCGTTTAGTCTATTCTACCTCCACCCGCCATATTCAGCTTGTCTTGCAACAACCGATTATTACCCGTTTCGATCTCTGCAACACACTTTGATGAAGAAAAACCTTAAAGTATAAGATGACTAGTGAGGATCAAACTCACTTTCCAATCGTAACTGACCTAGCAAGACAAGCAGGTACACTGGTGATTTGAATAAAATATAATTTATTTTTTGAAGTTAAAACCTTAACTCAGCATAACAGATCTGTTGTCGCTGGAAAGCAGTTGTGTTTTCCCATTAGCCTTTAAAGATTTGGAGTGTAGATTTTCAATTTTCAGTGCATTCCGACTTGCTTGACTAAGTAAACACAATTTTCCTACTTCATCATTCCCCTTTCGTATCAAATCCATTTGAGTAAATAGCAATACTTACCCTCGTCACGGGATCATTACGCGATTTCTGAGAATCGGTATTCAAGGAATTGTAATATAAGTAATTCTCCAGATATTCTGGGTGATGACTAACGAACTCGATGGCTTCGGCAGTCGTGTTGACCCAGGCCTTATGTTCTTCTTTGTCTCTTTCCTCTGAGGAAGGAAAAATATGAGTGGACAGATCAAAACATATGCCATATATTCCGATGTATAAGTTGAGTGTTTAAGGCATAAATAATATTAACACCAAAACAACTCAGCCAAACATGAAGTTTTTCCTGTTTGAATTTCTGAGAGGATGAATTATCGTTCTTTATCCTGTTTACATGCAGATCATTTTCCTCATCTTGCTGTCACAACAACAAAGATGAGAAAATAGGCCGTATGTAAATAGAATAAGTAATGAAACTGTTCGTGAATAAGAAAGATGAAAATAAAGTGGGAAGAAACACTTTATTAAATCTTATTGATGTTAACTTTAATTATAATTTCAAGCTTTACCCACAAATACAACTTCTTTTCTCTTCTATTTTTTTTTTACAAAAACATGCATCCAATTTTTTTTTAAAAATGGTTATTTATAATCTCTACTATTCCCAGTCTTTTGAACAGGAGTAAAGGTTTAACCCTTGTTCCCTGTTTACGATTGGGTTTCCGATTCCTTCTAAATTATTTTTTCATTCTCTTTCATACTTAGTACAACTTACGTCTTAGTGGCAGTATCATCTTGCTTGGGGTGAATTGATACAAAAAAGTGGAAAGTAGACTATAAGGTTGGCTTTCACAAACGTAAATAATCATCAGCTTTTAAAAAAGACGACGCTATCGCAACCTGACTATGCAACTCCCATGACTTAAGAAGTTCAGTCATTTTACGGACCAATACAGCCGCACAAGTGTCCCAGGCTGTTGGAGATTGGGTGTTTCTATCGACTTAGCATTTATGGATAGTAGAAAGTAGAAGAGCTTCTATATACTCATTAGCACATCAAATTGAATGTTGTCCTCCTAGACAGCTAGAGAGCCGAGTCTACCCTGCTATTTAACACATAGCTGGAGACAAAAGAAATGGATTCGTAGCTGTATTTGTGCGAAACTAACTCAACCAGAATTCGAAAGAGACATCAGTTTAATAATTATGTAAAGGAAGATATTTGTGGTTTCCATAATGATAGTCGTAGTCAGCACCCGCTCGCATCCGAGCATCGGGATCTTCATCCTTTCTCCATGTTCCCTTTCTCCGCCTCTGATGGCGGTGACAGAAATTGCTGTGAAGACACAGCCTACTCCTGAAGAGTTGTGAGCAGGAGTTACAGGAGTGTAGGTAGTGGACGCGGCTAGGGGCGTCGGGTCCTCTTCACAGCACGTCGCATATCCTCTTCATGTTAACGGTTGGACTCGAAAGCCTTGGTCCCCCTCCCCCTGGGTGGTTTTACGCCAGAAACCAGCAGTTTCCCAGGTCACAGTGTCGATGAATTCCTGTGTCAGGGATGTCTTCAACTGATCCTTGAAGCGTCATTTTGGACCTCCGCGTAGCCTCTTGCCGCTGGCGAGTTTTCCAAACAGGATGATACGTTGGAATCGAGTGGGATGAATTCTGATCACGTGACCCGCCCAGTGGAGGCGATGTTGAAGGATGGTAACCTCGATGCTGGGGAGAGATGTCCGAGAAATGACCTTGTTGTTGGTGATGCAGTCCACTCAAGTGATGTCATGGATTCTTCTGTGCTTCGTTTGCTGGAACCGTTTTAGACGTTTGTTGACCCGACGATACAAATTCCAGGCTTAGCAAGCGTGGAGCAGGGTGGAGAGGGTCACGGCCCGGAATACCATGATTTTGGTTTTTATGATGAGACCGTGATTACTCAAGCTCTGATGTGAGAGCCGTCCGTACGCAGTATGCGAAGCTTTGATCCTGTTGTCAAGCTCTCTCTCTCTCTCTCTCTCTCTCTCTCTCTCTCTCTCAGGTGGCATTATTCAAAATAATAAGAAGAAGAAGAAGAAGAAAGTAAGGGGTAATAATACTTTAACCTATCAGAGTCTAACATAGGCAGTGACAAAGGCCAACCTTTTGAAAATTAATAGCTTCTATTCTTCAATAAACAAATATTCTGATTTTAAGTAGTAATAGGATATCACGCAGTTTGGTTTTACATAGAATACTCATACGCGTACATAAGGGCCAAGGACTAAAACTGCGTCGGCATCTTCTCACCTTTTGTCCCTGTTGCAAGATAGGGGTAACGCAAGGTTGAAATACCTGGGATCCGATATTCCTCATACCTTTACAAGGAGTAAAGCAAATGCTACACTTTTATCCGCTATTTACCCACCTGTAAACGGTGGTGGGATGTGAAACAAGGTCGGTTTAATGACTATATTTATTATACTTTTACATACAATTGTGGCACAAGGCCGAAAGGGAAGTGGGGTAAGGCTGGCTATCCTAAACCTGGCTAGTTCGCTTCGCGACCCATTCATTCACCACAAGAACATACCCCTCTTCAGCCACTCCTACATTTATCAAAATACCACATACTCACAAAGAAATCTCATAAACCCCATGTTGTAAAAATGTATAGATATTTGCAATTTGTATTTTTAGGTCAGTTTAATGTGGAGTGCCAATACGCGTGTATAGATGCCAAGGACAAACATGCCACAGTCCTTGCGACTACAGTCACGCTGGCGACAGTATCCATCAACCTACTCTATTAAGTGCAATGTGGGAGGCAAGGTTGGAATCCCCGGAACTAGGCTTCCTTCCTAAGAGGAAGAGAAAACACACATGCACGTTCATTCAACTATAAGGCATGGAAAGGAAGCCTGAGCATAGACAGAATTGCTGGTGAGCATCATTTTGAGTGTAGACAGTCCGCACAGATACTCTCATAATAGGGAAAAGTGCCGATCTATACGTAACTTTCATGGGTACTATGCTAATAACTATATAAAATTAAGAAAAGAGACAACTTACCTGAGAAATAAATAACAGTACCAGGCGTTTTGATGTGTTGGCTTGTAGCATACAATTTGGCAAATCCTTTCGTTTTGAAAGCCAACCTACAGAAATCGGCCCGACTTTGTTTATGGACATTTGTTCCTAAAGAAAGAAAGATAGTAATCGGCGTGATTATACAAGGGAAATATATCCTTTTTAGTATTTCCAACATTATGGGCATTATTATATCTATGATATAATAACACGTTAATACACGGGTGGAACAGAATAGCTGAAAAAAAAGGAATTCAAAAAACATGCTTTGTTCTCAAAGACACTTTTATACTACTGTGTCATACACAAAATTATATACAAAATTTACACTTGTCCCACACAGAGAAACTATAACACGTGTATAGAACAACAATGTGAAAATGTCGAAGAGATAAAGGGTCTTACTTGTAATAACTTCCAACGGGAATTCGAAATGCCGGATTATTCTTATGTATTTCTGGAGAAGCCTTATTCATATTTCCCAACAGTAATTCTAGCTGTCCGGAATTATCTTCTAGCTCTTTAGTGAGAAAATATTTTCCAACTGCGAATCAGAGATCGTTTCTATATCTGGCAAGGGCATGGGCTAGTGTGCTTCCCTTAAGCAGCTGGTCTGGATATGTAAATTTAGCTTTGGCCAGGGTCGACAGATTTAACCTTGGCCCGTGTTAAAAAAAAAAAAGCAAACATTCGGTTTGAATCCAGGAGGCTAACTGAACGACTAACCGCATTCTTCACTAAGCGGCTGTCATGGAACCCACGTGACTTCATCTCACCTAGAGGGATATTATAGCCTTTTGCATCCCTACAATATTAAAATGCTCTGGGATAGTTTGAACTAAAAACTGTCCCCATGAAGCAAATAAGCATGGGGTATAGTGCTAAATTGTTATTAAAAAGAAAAATCTGTCATTTTAACGTCATCTACAAATAAATTCACCGCCATAAAAAGTTGTACTTACAAGTCCTTCTAGTATAATTATTTTTACTGTAATTGTCAAATATATATCTTTTAGTATACAATCCTTGAGGAAAAAGAGAAAAAGTTTTCGTTTTATAGAAGAAAAAAGTTGGCGCATATGACGCAAATATACCGACCAATCATCTCGGTTCTTTTTAGCCACTCGACCCACAGGAGACTTCATCTTCATATATATATATATATATATATATATATATATATATATATATCAAATCAACAATAAAAATTGTTAAAAATTAAAATTTCAGACACACTGGGTTGTGTCATAATATTTTTGTTTTATTTTTATATTATGTTCCTCAACTAGTTTCATTAGGAGAAAAAAATCCATGCTTGTTAGTTGCAGTGAACCACAGGGGTGAATGACAATCTCTGTGGAAGTTGAACTTGTCCTGTAGTTCTCATTTGTTTTGTTTTTTATAGTTTATTATTGGTTTACACATATATGAGATAAGTATGAATTTTTCTATTAATTAATTCTCTATGATTATTTATCTTGATTAATTAATACTGTTGATTAATTCTATCCTAATTAATAATTTCTCTTAATTGGTATTGGAAATGTCACAATATTTATTTCATTATGTAGTTTTTCCTTAAGATACATCTAAGCATTATCAAAGATAATTTTACGCTCAACCTGCGCAGAAGCGACCACGTCAGTACCATGAGTTTCCGTCCCTATAATTGGAATATAATTTTGGTCCCTATAAACGGGTTTAGTGACATTAATAAATTTTGGCCCCTATAAACGGATTCATGCAAAGAGGAAAATCCGATTTTAAAAACTGATCTGTATCAACACACTTGGTTCTACTAAGCGGCTATTCCTTATAACTTACTTTCGAATTAATCCCATTTCATTAGGCGTGTTATATTACCTACAAACTCCATGACTAACGCACTTGAAAGAAATTTGACTGACCTCAATACAAGGTTTACGGCCATATCATATTGAAACATCAGTTCTCGTACGATCACCGAACTTAAGCAACATCGAGCCTGGTTAGAACTTAGATGGGTGACTGTTGTGTCGTAAATAGGAAAGGTTGACACACATATAGAAAATAAGCAGTTTATTCCGGAGAATAATATAGTACACTGTTGAGAACGCAGACTAATGTAATAAACAGTTAATCATTAACTCGTCTCCCTCAGTAAGAGAGAGTGCTGTTTAAATAGTCCATCTTGTGGCGGTGTTCAGCTACTTCCCAACAGTGACCTTTTGGGAATACCAGGTGCTGTAAGCTTTGATGTGCCGAGTTCCAATTCCAGTCGGGTTCGTTATATTCATAATGCATAAATACTCTTGGGAAAGGTATGGATCCACCTCTTCCCCTCCCCCCAGCTATGGAATAATTACTGATTTCTATCAGTAAAATAATTATTATCTCAAAAAAATTATTACAATCTAAAAATATCTTCTCGTTTTAAAATAACCTGCAAAATGTCGATAAGTCGTAGAAAACAAATCAATCCATCATAATCTCAATATAAAAATTGTCACAAACACTTCAAAAGCAGTTAAGATTTAATTAATTTAAAGCAGTGAATTTTATGTCAGAAGTTGGATTTTATTAAATCGAATATAAACATTATCCCCTCATAGACCAAAATATGTCGGCGAATCCTTCTCTAGATTTAGAGAAAAAAAAAATAAAAACCTAAAAAGTTCAACTCACTTAATTAACTTAAGATGAAGTGACTTGAAGCAACGGAAATATGGTTCGACTAAAAGATGCTGAGTATGCCATGAACTGAACACATGAGCAACGATGAGGTTTTAGAGGAAATGTAAACAAAAAGGAAACTTATACTTAACACAAGAAGAGGCAGTTGCATGAGTTGGAAAGAGGGCTTGAAAAATCACAAAGGACAGATTTGATGGAAAGAAGGACAGAGAAAGGCAGTGCGTAAGATACTTGTTAGGCTTGAGTAAATATAGCTGGTGAAACAGGGTTTGGGAGAAATAACAAAAAGGCAAAACCTATCAAGACCTAAAGGGGAGAGGAAGATGTGAAGGACCATGATCGTATACGAACTGAAGGGATACAGAAAATTAAAGAAGAAAACATCACCGTGAATTTTGTAATGAAATGTTTGACGCGGGAATATCAATTTAGAAAAAAGTTATAATTTACTTATACATTGAATAATAACGTTTAATATACAATTCTAATATATCGCATTTTCTTACCATTTTAGTACCGAAATTATGAAAGATGTTTAAAAAATCAAAATTAAAACTCTACTTTATATAACGACACATCTAAATTATCTCTCAAATGGGATCGATCCGGAATTCGCATTATCTTGGCTTTTATCCAGTGATGTGGTAACCGCTCGACTCATTCTAGAAGTAAAGCGAGGTTCAATTATTCCTATGCATTTCTCTCGTAGGGACTTTGAAAGCCTATATCTGCTGAATTATATTTTAGTATCCGAAATATAGACACAACAATCTAATTAATGGATGTTAAATCGACATTATTTTTTGTTACTATAGACATTATTTTAGTGGATAAAAGTGTATGAGCGGAAATCCTGTTTTTTTTTTTTGTTTTTTTTTCCTTCATTCTTCAAAAAGCGGAGATGTCCACTGAAACAAGAGCAACTTTTCTTTCTTTCCTTTTTTTTTAATCATATCAAGGCGGAAATGACACAAGTACTAGTTATAGGGAGTGAAATTGAGAGAAAAAAACTGAGTATAGAGAGAATTGAGGAAATGACAAAAGATAAACGGGATTCAAAAAAATAGAACATGGCGATCGAAGATGCATTAAAATTTTTGAAGATTGTAGTTCTCAGGGAAACAAGTAAACGGAAGACAGTTTCACAGGCGGGAAGTGCGAAAAAGAATAGATTCCAAACTAGTAGCACGCTTAAATTCATGTAGTCGCGACGCCAGGAAAGAAAAGCTTGACAGAGCAGTTACCATGAAAATATTTGTAGAAAAGATAGAGGGAGGCCACATCACATCCGTGAGAAAGTGACTGAGGTCGAGACGCCTGGTCAAGATCGTTTGCACTACAAATCCTTCTTTGGATTTTCTCAAGAATCGCGAGATGAATAGCAGGAGTACCAGACCAGATATGTCAACAGTATTCAATGCACGAACGAATGGTAGATTTGTAAACGTGCATCTACTAAAATAACGTTCATAGTAACATAGTAATATATATAAATTTCTAACTCTTGCTATTGCCTGAGGATCGTGGGAGTGTGAAACTTATGTAGCAGTCGAAATTTTGTCCCTTTCTGGAGTGAGACGCTGTGAAGCGTTTTGCTCTTTCTTGATAACCTTGGCATAGAGCAATGTTTAAGTAGGGGGGTTGACTTTTGCTCTTTTTTCTTTCCTTTTTTTTTTTTAGTGTGTTTCACTTTCACGTTTTCTTGTATAGTTTTTTTTTTTAAGGGTAGGGGGTTTCTATATTTGTTTTTAGCATTTTTCATTTTCCCCTAGGAACCGTAACAAATGATGTCACTGTAAACTATTAGGTTGGTGCAAAAATAATGACGTAATAATGTCATTTTTTGACGTCAAAAAACGACATTATTACGTCATTATTTTTGCACCAACCTAATATTTCAAACTTCCAGCTTTCCAAAGAACACCAGGATGTAGACAAAAGAATTTTGCCGACCCGACAGACACTATATATGTTCTTGAAAATGGCCGAGACGATCAAAAGTAGTTGAACAAAACAATAGTACAGTATGAACTCAGGACAATTTATCCAAAGATTTGAGCTCAATATTCAACATATTATTCGAAAATTGAAAAATACAATAAAAATTAAACTGACAGAATTTGTCATTACTTTTGAATCATATATGTTTCAATTAATACTTGCTGTTAAGATATAACTTTATAAATTATCAAGTAAAGAGACACAACTCGCAATGGGTCATCTCCTTCTTCTATATAATATATGTCAATGTCAGTGTGTCACTGTCTAACACTTTTCAATTAAAGGGTATCAACTCTCTAAATTTCAATAGTTCATGTTAGATAAATTTTGGCTTCCCAAATTTTCATTCCTGCGAATTTTTTCGGTGATTTTTTTACATGATTTTTTGCAACGAATTTTTACGATAAAAATATTTATAACTTGGAAATAAATTTTGGAATAATCGAAAACAATTGCGAAATCCAGCAAAATCACCCATGAAATAAAAATAATTGTTTGTACGGAAAGTAAGCAACTTTTCACATCAAATTGTCCTTAAATTAAGTAGCGACAGAAGAATTATCGTTGAATTTTTAAAAGGGGAGCTCAAATAATAATGCAACGATAAATGTTGTGTTTTCTGTAGTTTATTGTTGCATCTTCAGGGGTAAATTACAAAGACAAAGTTATTGTTCTTGGAAAAAGATCCAACGTACTTGGGTTAAAAAAAAACTACAGTGCCTTCCTTGATGAATTTCATTTTAACTTCAAGAAACTGATTAAACAGCTGGAAAGAATAAGTATAAAGATAAGTAAACACAAGATGTCTATTCAATGAAACATGTTTGAATGAAGATATACTACCTATATATATATATGTATATATGCATATAGAGGGCGCGTGCGCAAAGTGTTACCATTTTTAATTTTTAATTTCGTGCATGCGCGTTGTTTGTTTTTGATTTTGTCGACTTCATAGTATCCGTCTTGTCCGGCTGATATGAATTCATATATTAAAAATTAAAAAAAGAACTTCAACTGAAACATGTGCTAAGACAAAAAATAACGCTTAAAATAAGAAGAAATGTCAAATTAAAAGAAATCTATTTATATATAAATATATAATGTTATGTAGATTTTAAACTGGAGATATGCATTATCTTAAGTGTTAAAAATGCAAATTCGTATATGTATATGTGTATGTATGTGTGATATTAAAACTTGGAAGAAAAACAATGATAAATAGTTTGTCTTACGGAATCAAATTGTAATATAACTATTCTTATCTTCTGGTTCTGCAACGAAGAGTTTTTTAAAAGTAATCAAAATTAAAAATACATCGATAAAAGGATGAATTCATGTATGTTTTTCCTGATAATTTCTTACCTCCAAGACGATTAATATTTAATCTTTAGTGTCTCTAAAATGTCAGAAGTAATATAAATGACAATTTGGTATCTGCATAGGCAATATTACCACCGACATAACAAGTCTTTCAAAGCTGATATGGACAAAACTCATCAACTACACGATGTTATATTTTACTAAGCAAATCATTGTTTTAAAAAGTGGTAATTTTCAGAATATATTTATGTAGTCAATATAACTTGTGAGTTTCAGCTTATAAAGTATGTCCTTAAATAGTTATTTATCATAATTTATAATGATCATAATTTATAGGATTATTTCAAGAATTTGGAATGGTATCCCGACGATCTGTTAGGTTATAGAATAATTTGTTATGATCATTTCTAATCATAATTTATAATGATCATAATTTATAGGATTATTTCAAGAATTCGGAATGGTACACCGACGATCTGTTAGGTTATAGAATAATTTCTAAGGATCATTTCTAACCATGATTTATTATAATTTATAATGATCACAATTTATAAGATCATTCCAAGAATTCAGAATGACATCCTGATTATCTGTTAGGTTATAGGATAATTTATTATTATTTTATATCCGATTTGTTCAAATGTCTGTATGTGCCTAGAACAGAGATTAGTTCCTCGTCTTTTACCTCTTTAAAATTAATAATAATTCCTATTGATTTATGAAACTAAATTCCATATTAATATCATTTTCATTTCTTCTAATTATGCCTTCCAACAACTGTCTCAACACAACAGAGCACCGTGAACCCCTGGGAGAAAAATCCAATGCAAGATATCAATAATTCCCCTAGCGCAAGAAAACTAACAGGATTGAATGACAAAGAGAATAATGACGTTCCCGATGTTAGAGAGGAAGTTAGGGGTCTGGTTAGAATTGAAAACAAATCAAAAGAGATTTTTTTTCTCAACCTCAATCTACGACAATTTGAGTTGAGCGATAATATTTGTCGAAAATTGTTGCTGCTATTAATTTTCAAAATGAACCAGAAAAATACATTTTCACCTCTTCCCCACCAAAATACCTCAATAAACATATGTCTTATATGCGAAAGGTGTCTTCTTCTTTGTGTCCTGGGTATGACGATAAACTATATCCGGCAACAAGGTATCTAATCGGGAGGTTCTGAGGGACGTCGAATCACTTCTTAATTGCTTTTGTTTCCCCGGTCAAACCTCACCCGGGGTGATAGCACCTGTTAAAGTTCCAACTACAGGCAAAGAGTTAAACCTCCAAACTTGGGTCAAAACACCATAAAACTGTAAAAATAGGTTTTTATAGTAAAAAGTACCAGCAATATATTATGGAAAAAAATTATTACCAGCAACAGATTTTGGAAACAAAAATTATTATCAGTAATAGATTTTGGAAAACAAATACCAGCAATACATTTTTGAAAAAAAATATTAACAGCAATACATTTGACACTCAACAAAAATCCTCTTTATACAAATGCGTAAATGAAACCTGATCTATAGACTGATTTCTTACAAATAATACATATTCTATTCATACGAACCTATTCTAAAAATCTTGTTGTCATTAAAGGACCCATTGAGGTTGATATGCCGTAAAACAAAATGAACAAAACCAACCCTTCTTCTTCTTCTTCTTCTTCTTCTTCTTCTTCTTCTTCTATGGGCTGTGTTTCAGGAAGTTGGCGTTCATGGTTCCCCAGAACTTCCTGCCCATTGTAGTTATAAGCAAAGTCTGTCTTTTTGCTGCCTCTCCTAATCCTTCTTCTGCCATCTATTTTCACAGACTTGGTCAGGTAGGTTATTCCCTGCATTCTTCTGTCTCATTTGCCATCAACATGACATGTGAATGTCAAAAGCTGTTTTCAGGCCTTCTTTCCTCATTATGTGCCCTAGAAATCGCAATTGTCTCTTTCTGGATTTAAGTATAAGCGTCCTTTTTATTTCTATTTTCTCTAAAACTTCGTTGTTGCTCACGTTTTCATTCCATAGTATTCTCAGCATCCTTCTATACAACCACATCTCTGTTACCTCAAGTTTCTTCTTCATCTTTGAGGAGATTCTCCAGCATTGACTGTTACATAGTTACATAACAGTTCAGTTTTCTTTGTTTCTAACGAAATTTTTCTGTTTCTTAATATTTTGTTTTTGGAAGGCATTTTCGTTATTTCAATGCGCCTTTGGATAAATACAAGTGAAAAACAATAATTAAATGTGTATTTAAAATCATAAGAAAAAAGTTTTTTACATTACGATGATAGACCTAAAAAAAATTGTTCCCCTTACCAAAGGATTAGATTGGAAATATCGAGTCATTTGGATTTAGTTTTTCTACCACATTTCATTTTGCAGCACCCTGATTCAATGAACGGGAAGCCAGTCAACAAGTATTGGGTAAAAGGTCAAGACCCCTTATTCGAAAAACTCGAGACAAGATCTTACCTTTTTCAAAAGAATATTCGACTCCTTGTCCTTCGTGTTGAAGGCAGTCAGCAATCCAGTAAAGGAAAAGATCATTTCCTTGTCCTTCCATGCTCACTGTAAGCGGTGATGAAATAGCACCTACAGTATCTCTAATGGGTGGATTTATGAGACTCTTGCCTGTACGGCCATCCAAAATTGTAGTCTGAAAGCAGAAGTTGGGAACACAGTAAGAGACATGGACAAAATCATCTATAGTAATAAAGCGCAGTGTACGTGTATCCGTCCATCCGTCCGTTGTTCGATTTCGGTGAATCATAAACAACCTGCAGTAACAGATAGTAACTACTGTAGTTACACGAGATTGAAAATTAAGTAAATTATTATAAGTTAAATCTAAATATCGAACAGAGTAAAAGGTTTTAAAAAACAATTCTTTATTAATTTCGCCATTCGTCGCAGTTGCAATTGATATCGTCTAATTAAACCGTAATTAAAAGGGTACGTTGCTCATATGTTTTTCTTTCTTTTTCTAGCACGCATACTGTGACGTATTTGAAATATTACATAGTTCGGATTCCCTATTTTTTTTTTAACAGTGATTTTATGTGAAGGGATCATAAAGAATGGTGATTTTAAAATAAATATTTTGCGCAAAATAAATGTATAAAACTAGGGAGATCGGTTGCGTATACAAAGAAAAATTATGCCGAATTAAGGTGTCGAATAAAGATAAAATAATCTTATTACTTCTAAATTCTTGTAACTGTTACGTACATAGGACGTTGAAGATAAAAAGCTGAAGGCCGAAAAAGCCTTCCGCATGAGCTAGCTGAAGTATGTCCGAAGGCCAGGTTTGGCTAGTAAAGTAAACTGCGGGTCTATTCGCAAGCTAATTTAAAAGTGTATTCCGTCATACAGATCTCTTAAGAACAGTAAGAATGCAGAATAAATATCCCCTCACTTCGCGCCCAGGGATTGAGATTTGTGTTGAAAAAAATCGAGAAGAAACATTGTAGGAATTCAAAGAAATACATACTCATTTTAGTATTTTGTTAGGTTTGCCGAAGACAGAACCAAAGACACTCTAAAAGTGACACGAAAAAGAATATATTTAGGCACGACAATTGTAAAGGGCAACTGGGGTAAATATAATGATTTATATAACAGCACTACCATAACGTGGCTTCCCTATGCCTTTCCATTCATATTTTCATGGCATTTATTCTGATGAACTTTCTTTTTGATACCACGAATTTAAGCACAGTTCTAGATTGGTAGCAATGTCACATCATTTTACAGTTGAAATGGCTACATATAACCGTAAGTTCTATGCTAAGAGATTCTTCACCTTTGTGAAACTCTCTTCCGGTTTCTTTCTTTCTAGTCAAATTTGGTCTTTGTAAAATGATAGTCGTTATCTCCTGTCGTAATTCCTGTTCTTTTTGTTATGACGTAGAGTACTCTCTGGAATAGACGTTTGTTAGGTCAACAGATGGTAGCTCGACTGGCATTCGCTGCGGTGTACTGCTTTTATAGCAGTATCTCATTTACATACAATACTACACCTCCATGAATATAAAAAATAGCTTTATGCCTTTCGTTGATCTTTGACTCGTTCTAATTATTCTTGGGAATCTAAACTGTCTTTCTTGTTTGTTTTTTTGTTTGTTTTTTTTTTCTTATAGGGGGCCTAAGTCTGAGTTCATTTTCCTCTTCCGAATCCTCGTTATTAACATCCATAGATTGTCCAGTTTCGTTATTGGATTCATTAGTTCTCTCCTCCCTTTCATGTTCTTCACCTTCAGATTCTTCGTCCATTTCTATATCCTCGGGTACCATTCTGTTTCAAGAATAGATCTTCATGGAACAGTACATTTTGCCAATTTTTCTTTAGTATTATCGTGTTGTGTCCTTTCTGTACTACAAAGTTCGCTTTCTCTGGATTAGATTCTTTTTCTTTTGCATACCATCTACTTTCACTTGTTGAAAATTGCATTGTTATGGGAGTCTTAATCTGTTTACCCATTAACGCTAAGAGTGATTGCAGTCTGTGGAATTATCCTATAGTTTAACAGTAATCCTAGTAAGTAACTATTTACATTATCATTAGACGAGGAAACTGCTTTTAGTCCTATGTTCACAGTCTGCACCATTCTTTCTGCGATTCCATTCGATTGCGGTTGGTAAGGTGGCATTTGATACGGGCGCATCCAATCCGCATTAGCCACGTGTACAAACTTTCCTCGCAGTATTCGGGTGCATTATCTGAGACCAAAATTAAAAATAGCCCCATGCTTTTAATATGGCCATGATCCATGTACATCCGACCCTATGGTTCTTTTTCTTTAAGCCACGAGTGAATTTTGTTTTGTCGAAAGATTTTTTTTTTATTTCAGCACATTTTGGGCACATTTTTTACATAGTTTCTACATCTCGCGAATTTCATGGCCAACCAGGGATCAAAGGTTAGAAGTGGCTTTCTGTTATTTTACAGTAACCATTTTTGAAAAAAAACAACCTAAGATCACGCACATTTTACATATATAAAGATCTTCTTTATGTGTGAACTGTACTTGTGATTACAATTTGTGTACTTCTATAAGGCGTGAGATATCAGGGATCCCTTCAATGAGTCTATCGGAAGCTTTTCAAATAGGTCGAGGGCTCCAAATAAAACTGAATTTATTTGACACACTTTTTAGATTTCCATTTCAATATCCTTGTATTTTGATAGTTGTTTGAATATCTTCGAAGATACATTACAATATGCAGGGACAGCCATGTCAGTAAGAAAGCACATTCTTTTTTTTTGTTGTTTTTGATCAGGTTGTCTGGGCTATTAACTTTGATTATTCTGCCGGTGTGTATTGTAAAATTGTTACAGGTCTTATCTCTAACAGGATCTGGGTGATGTTCATATCAATTTCTTACAGTTTCATTTCTGTAAAAGTTGCATATTTTCCAGTGCAGATATTGGTCCACGCTATAATGGTGAGCTTTATATTTTCAGTGCGTGCTAGCACCGTGCAACCAGTTACAAGATTGTCAATTGATTCTGAATATTTATCACATAATCTGCATTTCGGGTTATTAGATATTTTCAGTATCTGCTTGGTAATTTCTAGTCAGTAAGCATTGGTACTGTGCAGCAAGAATAAAACCTTTGGTTTCAACTATTAACCCTGCAGATGAGTACGGGTTTTTTCTACATCAGTTTGCTTGGCACGAGCAGAGTATTGACCATGAAGAGGCTTATCTTGCCATCGTTTTCTGTATTTAGTACATTGTATTTGCTTTTGCTTTTTAGGTTCTTTCCGTTGCAGGATGTATTATGATTTATTTGCTCTTCTTCACCCACATAAAATTCTCTTTTGAATTTGTTGGCTTCCTTAATGACTAAATAAAGTTTCTTATTTCTTTCATGTTCTTTGACACAGATCATCATCCAGTTTCCTGTGGTTTCCAGGTATCTTTGAAGGTCAGTTGTTGTAGTTTTGTAAGACAGTTCTAGTTGAACTAATCCTCTGCCTCCTTCGGATCTGAGCGCATACAGACGATAATCAACCGCTTTAGGATGATGCATGCGGTGACAAGCGATAAACTTTCTCATTTTGACATTTGCTTAATGTCAGCTATAGTCCAATTATGGATGTTGAAAATGTATTGGACCACAGTGTCTGCCAAAGTGTTTATGGCGGATATTTTGTTTTGGGAATTCAACTCACCTGCAATATTCTTTTCTTATTTTCTCTTTTATTTTTTAAATACTACTACTACTAATACTACTACTACTAATAATAATAATAATAATCACTTTCTTTACTTTCTAGTCATTTTTCTTTCTTTTACAGTGATAAAAACACATGTTTACCTTTGTCAGTCAGTGTTTATTCTTCTTTTTCTTCTTCTTCTTAATATTATTATTATTATTAAAGTTTATATTTTTATTTTTAATGTACACACACACACACACACATATATATATATATATATATATATATATATATATATAGTCCCCTCCAAAAGTATTGGAACGCCAAAGTCAAAGTTGCTTCACAAGATATTTGGGTTTAACATTAAAAGGTGAATATGAGACAAGAGTCCAGAATTTCAGCTTTTATTTTCTGGTATTTATATTTAGATGTGTTAAACAACTTCGGACACGCCAACTCTTCTTTGAGCCCACGCATTATTCAAGTAAGTAAAACGATTGGAACACGTGATATATGTATTTCTTGTTGTCTAGATGTTAACTTTTAGATTGATTATTTAAATATTAAATAGCTCTGAATGACAACTTTTGGTTTTAGCATTGTGTTTCACCTGTAAAGTCTGCACATCTTGTTAAGAAGATAAACCACCAGGAAGATGAGAGAGTTGTCTATAAGATGAAAGCAAGCTATTCTGAAGTTGTGAAAAGAAGGAAAATCCATCAGAGCCATTGGACAAACTTTGGACATAGCTAACACAACAATTTGGAACAGGTCGGCCAAGGAAAACAAGAGTAGCTGATGACAGAAACATTGTGAGAGTTGTAAGGAAAAACCCCAAACAACAATGATATCAACAACAACCTTCCCAGTGTAAGGGTGAAGGTTTCACAATCTATCGTTCGAAGAAGATTTCGAAAGCAGAAATATAGAGGCTATACTACAAAATTCTAACCACTCATCAGCATTAAGAATCGAAAGACCAGGTTGGAATTTGCAAAGAATTACAGAGACGAGTGACAAGAGTTCTCAAAGAATGTTTTATGGACAGATGTGACCAAGATTAATTATCAAAGTGATACAAGCACATCTGTGAAGCATGGTGGAGACAGTGCTTTGGGTTAGACGTCAATGGCTGCTTCTGGAACGAGCTCATTCCTATTTATTGTTGATGTAAATTATGATGGTAGAAGCTGAATGAATTCAAAAGTCTACAGAAACATTTTTCTGCCATTTTACTGAGAAATGCATCCAAACTAATCGAGTGAAAACTTATCATGCATCTGGACAATGACCCAAAACATACTGTCAACACAACAAAGGAACTCATCGGAGTGGGAGGGGTTGATTTTAGACTGACCAAGTCAATTACCGGATCTTAATTCAATAGAGAATGCATTTGATCTCCTGAAGAGAAGACTGAAGGAAGAAACAGCTCGAAACAAACGAAAACTGAAAGAGGCTGCATTAAAAGTCTAGAAAAACATCACAAATGAAGAATACAACAGTTTGGTGATGTTATTGAAATGGTAGGCTTGATGCAGTTATTGCAAGCAAGGGTTATGCAGTCAGTCAGTTATGTGCCATGCGTGATACATATCTTTCAATACATGACTGACGAGGCAGATTTTTTTTCCCGTAGTAGGTGGCCATTTCTTTCTGCGAGACCAGTTTACATCCAAGGCTATAGAACCTAGTGTGTCCTGCTATTTACCCATAGCCGGGGGAGAAAAGAGGATTCATACATTTCCCAAGGGTATTAGCTCGTAAGTAAATGTAATGACTGGAATTTGAACTCGGCACTCCGATTCCACAATCCGAGCCGCTATCCATTACTCCACCGTGCCTCCTTTTGCTCACTTAAAATGGAGTGATGAGGTACAAATCGAAATGTAAATACCAAGAAATAAAAACTGAAATTTTGAATGCTTGTATCATATTCATCTTTTGATCTTAAACCCAAATGGCTTCAGTGAACAAAAATGGAATTAGCGTTGCCGTTCCAATAATTTTGGAGGGAACTGTATATATATATATATATATATATATATGTGTGTGTGTGTGTGTGTGTGTGTGTGTGTGTGTGTGTGTGTGTGTGTGTGTGTGTGTGTGTGTGTGTGTGTGAAAGTATCAAACGAATTCTAAAAAAGTTTATGCAACTTTCTTCCGAATAATATCAAATAATTTATTGACTGAATTATTCGGTTAATAATATAAAAATAGAGACAATGGGTTTAAATAATAAGTAAGTAATAAAAGACTTTGGCGCAATAGGAAGTCCGGAAAATGCCTTAGTTATAATTTGTAATTTTTTTTTTTTTTTTCCTGGGCGAGTTTGTTTCGATTTGAATCAAAGTTGTATTTACCTGTGAATAATAATAAATCGGGAAGCCAGGTCCGTGCGCGTATTTCACCATGAAGTCAGGTACGTCATCGTTGTTATAGTAACCAGCTGCCGGAGTGCTGTATAAGGTGGTGAGTGCAGAAAAAAACGGTGAGAAAAGTGAAAAAAAAATCAAACAAACAAAAAAGAACAAAAAAAAAACGAATTAATCAAAAAATCAATAAAAAGGCGTAAACACGCACACAGATAGACACAGACACAAACACACACGCACGCAAACACACACACACATATATATATATATATATATATATATATGTATGTATATTTATGTGTGTGTGTGTGTGTGTGTGTGTGTGTGTGTGTGTGATGAAATAGCACCTACAGTATCTCTAATGGGTGGGTTTATGAGACTCTTGTCTGTATGGCCATCCAAAATTGTAGTCTGGAAAAAGAAGTTGGGAAGAGTAAGAGACATGAACAAAACTCTATGTTAATAAAGCGCAGTGTACGTGTGTCCGTCTATCTGTCCGTTATATATTTGTGTGTGTGTGTGTGTGTGTGTGTGTGTGTGTGTGTGTGTGTGTGGTTTTATAGTGGACTCTTTCGTCGCGGACGAAAAATGAGGTTCTTAATATGGACACGCACGTGTCTCCCGAGGCCTGCAGGTGTTTTGCAAACTTTTAGACATATGGAATATGAGGTTGAGCCATTTTGCTCCAGTGATTGAGGTTCAACTGTCACATGTTTCTGCGAGTGGACAACAAGGTCTGCTTTACTGCCACAGTGAGAGAAGCAGCATGCTGACAACTTGTTTTAATATTTGCGCACAGCTGATCCCGATGTTCAAGTTGGCCTCGCTCAAACCTTCGTACAGATGGCAAGCAGAAAAGGTGCGAAATACATATGTATGTATGTAAGTTTATATATATCCTAAGTGAGTGATAATAAACCCTATACACTTATATTCGATACGCTATCAAGTGTAGTATAAAATTTGAAGCATACTAAATACACTAGTATAACCAACACGTACAGTTCGCTATTACAAATGTTATTAATTTACTTATAACGTCTGCCTCGTGGGCACTTCGTCGTGGTGTAATGGTTAACAAGCGTTTCTCACTAGATCAATTACAACTGAGTAGTGAGTTTGATCCTTAGCGTGTTCTTTTTGTTTTCTGCCCTGTGCCACATGTGAGATACGCTTGCTATAACTGCAGACCTATCTACATTATAAATACTGGATATTATATGAAAAGGAGCTGTTAATCTAGATGCAGGTTCACAGCTGATGATTTAAGTCAATTTTTATAATAAATATGTGACGGGAATTATATTTATATGGTGCGATGGATAAATTGTCGTCTAAATTATGCACAAAAAAAAAAAAAAAAAAAATGAAAATAATACTGACAGTTTGTTTTATATTCGATATATTAACCAAAATTACACAAAATGATCTTGAAATACTAAAAAGTAAATTTATTCAATAAAATCGACATTCACCCCAACCACGGCTGCCAGATGACTTTGGAATCTCCTGCAACACTTCTTGACAGTCTCCTTGTTTAAGCTGGTGAATGCTGCCATAATATTTACCTTCAGTTCATCTTTGGTGTTACAAGGAGTTTTGTTAGTCTCTCGGTCAATTGCTAGAGGGCTACAGTCTGGGGAGTTAGGTCGCCAAATGTAAGGGGCGATGTGGCTGCAGAAATTGTCTGACAGCCATGACTGGGTTATCCACATTGTGTAACATGGTGCAAAGTTCTGTTGCCAGACATAGGGTCTTCCAGAAACTACCCTCTTAACCCAGGGCAGCATTACCTCCTCAAGGCATGTCTCCGTTTTGAGTCTGGGACCCTCATCAACAAATTTGGGAGTTCTTTTTCGTATCAGAACTGTCAGAGTGACTTTTCCAAGCTACCGTACCTTCATAATCTCCATTAGGCTCATCCAACACTTTCCAAATTTTTGGCGGTGTGAATTGCATCATGTTGCTCTTTTTCTCACAGACGGTGCCCAACTGACCCTACTATACTGCGCAGTTGACAAAATAAAATAAAAAACAACGCGCATGCGCGAAATTAAAAATATAAAATGGCGATAATTTACCCATCGCACCCTGTATTTATACGATACAAAACATGTATAATATTCTAGAAGCTATTATTACGCATATTAAACAGCCGACATTAACTGTAATATCATTAACCACAGGAGATGGTACCTTGGGGTGGATATAACTAATTAATAAAATAAAATTAATAAATCGCATTTTTTGTACTGCTTCGTTCCCAACAGCAGTTACACATGTCTCAATATTAGACCATCTCAATCGTGCAATGTCGGAATCAATACGAAAATGCAGACAAAGGTGTTAAAACCACAACAAAGACACCACATCAGTTCTTGATGATGACTGAAAAGTCAAAGGTAGTTGGAGAATTAAAAAAAAATGAACTTTAGACAGTTAATCCACAACTTCGAACATAATATTGAATATCTTATCTAGAAGTTAGAAAATATGAAAATGAAACAAACTTTGTTGGTTCTTTATAGTCAAATTTCTTATGATATATATAGTGTAAAGTGAAAAACAAATGACAAAAATGAGAAATAACAATTACACTCTACATGTACGCATATATACACGTACGTGAGCGCGCTCGCGCAGACACAAACATACACACGGTCACTTGATGATACCAGCTAACGAGTGGACGGAGTCATTTCCGGAGGGTCCGTCTACGAATCTCCGGAATCAGGAAGCTGATGGTAACAGCATCAGCTAAATGACACATTTATACTTGTATTAATTTTAATATATATATATATATATATATATATATATATATATATATATATATATATGTGTGTGTGTGTGTTGGTGCGGCAGATCATTATTCAAACATATATTGTTAAATATAAGACACTACGAATGTCTGATATGTTTGAACATGAGCCGTTCTAAGCTTCGTATAGTTGTTTTAATTCCAGGAGAATATAAAGATAAAACATTATAATAATAATAATAATAATAATAATATAAAAGGAAGAGTATAATAAAAAATATTCAAATGTTGGGCATTTTTGCCTTTATTTTCTCCCGAAACTAAAGTCTTTAAACGTATGAGGGTCAAGCAACTCAGTTCCTACGAACCGCCTACCCAGACACCACCACATATGATTTTGCTTGTAGTGGTGAAGGTTTTATGCAGAACCATCCACACTTTTTGAAGGGCCAAATAAAGAAACCTGGTGCACTACGTGCCACAAGGTCCCCAAACGACCCTTCACATGTTTTGAATTCAGAGTTGTTCTTCTAGACCAGTTGCCATCAAAGCCTATAGAACCCAGCCTGTCCCGCTATTTACCCATAGCTGGAGGGAGAAAGATAGGATTAATACGTAAGTGAATTCAAATGATACGACTCGGCTCTCTGATTTCACTACTCCACTGTGTCTATATATGACAGATGGCGAAAAATTCTAGGCTCGTTCAAGAAGGAATTTGTCAATATTTCAGGCGTAATCGTTGCATCGATTTGATATAGCTTGACAACTATTACTGCGCATTGACGAATAATTCAGTCAGCGTATGAAACGATTGAATCAGCTTCTGTACAGTATGAATGTCACATTCGCAAATGACGTGTCGTGCAGGACTATTTTCCGAATTATCGCACCAATCGAAAATTTTAGTCCCCATTAATACAATCACGTTTTGCATCCCTGCTACTTCTAGCTTTTCTCAATGGAAAATCACTCTTAAAAGCTGAAGAGGTTGTCAGACTTTCGAGAAAATTGGGTCTTAAAGAGAATGCGATGCTGGTTCTAATGACAAGACTGAATAGGAACATTGCAAACCATATTCAAAAATTGTGTGAGTTCCAAGAAAAATACTTTGAAGGGAATAAGGGGCCATTGCCCTAAGTAGGTTATATTTTCAATGTGCCCAAATGGCGTTCCACACACACACACACACACACACACACAGATCTCTTTCTCTCTCTTTCCCTCTCTCTCTCTCTCTCTATATATATATATATATATATATATATATATATATATATATATCATTTATTTTAGGATATTAAAACAAAAAATGTTAAAAATCGCTACACAATTGCAATTATGTTTAAACATTACAAATGTGCTTCCTATATATATATATATATGTGTGTGTGTGTGTGTGTGTAAATTTGGACATTGAGGTCAAAACCAAGCGGGGACAGGCTGTTTCATACTTAAAAGTATATATATATATATATATGTGTGTGCGTGTGTGTGTGTGCGTGCGGGTGGGTGGTGGTGGTTGTAATCTAGCTCTGTTTAGTGAATAAAGTTACAGTCCGATAGAGTAAGATATTTCTCGTCAGCCTTGAGAACACATGGCACAGTGGATAAAAGCGTTGGTTAGATCCAGTGACAGGACCCAAAGAGTGTGAGTTCAATACCCGGTTAAGGCAGTGGAGAACTTTCAGAGGCAAATTAACAGGAGATAACTGATAACTGACATCCATTAAACATGGCATGTGGAACTAGAACAGTCTACCCTGGTGAGCGAAATAAAGGGTTCAGTTCGACATTCCAACCACCTGAAGAAGGCCGGGGCGTACAACGGCCAATACGTTGTAATAAATATGACGACAAAGACGAAGACAATAGTTCGAATAATGTAAATAATATACATAATACCTCATCTCAGAAATATAGGCAGGTAAAATATAACGTTTATTACGCTTAAAATCAATGATTACACCAAAAAAATAAATAATTCTAAGTGAATATAGCGATACACACTTAGTCTGTATGACGTCATCATCATCACCGCCATCATCATAATCTTAATTTCCCTGTCTGTCTGTCTCTCTCTCTCTCTCTCTCTCTGCCCTCTCTCTCTTTCTCTCTTTTGATAATGAACAAATAGTTTTAGAGAGATATCATCATATCATTCAATTCATATTCTTTGATTGTAGGTTATAATGTTAAAATAGGTTTCCCATTTTAAAAGAAAGCAAGTAATGGTGCCTCGAGGTATGTTATATAAGAATCACAAATTTTACTGATAATTCTTTAAAGCCCACTCTCAGCCTCCATCTTGAAGCTGGTGATTG